GAGTCTGTTAGGTAGAGGAGGGGATTTGTCAGGTTCAGTGGAATCAGGAGAGGGATAAGGTAGTTCTTGGGGTGGAGGTGCCTGCGCAGGTGGATAGGGAGGTGGAGGATCAAGGAGGGTTAGGGAAGCTTGGTCCTCGGGGAGGACTGGCTTTTGCTTTTTCTTTTCAGGGGCAGACTGAAGGGGCAGGAGGGAAGAAGTAAGACTCAGGGGAGCAGAAGGGACAGGAGGCCCCTGGTCAGTCTCTTCAGGTCCCCTAGGAGGTAGGAACGGCTGTGCCCAAGATGTGGGGTTCCGGGCCAAGTCTTCCCAGGTGACTATGTAGGCCACCTGGTCTGGATGTCCGTGTGGTCCTGGGTGGAAAATGTATTTCTTAACCTGTAAGATAGTAGCAAGGTCAAAAGTCCCATCCTTTGGCCATCCTTTTTTCGAAAGAGGGCCATGCAGAGGAACAGAGACTCTGCCACTTCTTCTTTTGGACCTCCAATGATAAGTTGTGGGCCCATTCCACGACCTCCTTCCAGGGTTCCAGAGTTAGGCTTAAAGGGGTAGTTAGCGATTGACCCATAGTGGAGGTCACAGGAGGGGGAGAGAAAGAAAGAAAGGAAGGAAGGAAGGAAGAAAGAAAGAAAGAGAGCAAATATGCCACTCCAAATAATAATGACCAGTGGGTGTGCTTATGGATGAGTACCTAATGTTGCCAAGTTTTTCTTCTGCGGGGGACGTGAATTTATCTGGGATTCACACCTGGGACCCCCTTATCCTTTCACGGGAGTCTTTTAGCGGCGAGCGCCCTATGGCTCTTATTTGCTCGACCCATGCCCGTGGGGTGCCCTATGGCTCTTATTTGCTCGACCCATGCCCGTGGGGCTTTTTCAGTGGCCAGAGAGAAAGGGAGATACAGAAAAACTGTCCTGTCTCCACCCGTGCGGGCAGTCAGGTTCCGCTAAGAGGGCTAAGAGCCTTTGGCTTACATCAGGGAGTGGCCCTGACCAGAAAACCTCAAT